ACGCTTAACCGACTGCGCCACCCAGGCGCCCCTATTTTTAATAGATATACCTTGTCTATTTTTTGCTGACAGCAGAGCGCCTGATGCAGAGCTTGAACCCACGGACCGTGAGATCATGACCTGCGCCAAAGCCAGACACTTAACTGAACTATGCGGGGGCCCCTAATTACCTTCTATTAATCACTTCATGGGAGAAGGTGCAGAAGATGGGAAGTGAGATTGTATAGGCGGCAGGTGTAGTTGAAGCAAGCGGAGCTGGATTTATGCCACCGAAATGCTGTGTCTTAGAGGCGGGGCGTGTGAGCGGTGACTGTAAGGAAGGCCAACACCACCTGGGCACTAGTGTCTCACCCTGTCCTAGTGCTTGAGTGCTTCTGAGGTGTTGCCTTATAATAATACCTCCAAACCCCATAGGAGGTATTATTATACTCCCATTTAGCAGGTAAAGGTTGAGTTACTTGCCAACAGCTAATAAATAGCAGAGCTAGGTCTCAAATCCCAGGTGTCTATTTTGCCATTTTGCCATCATGTCAACTATCACTCCCACGCTGAAGAAAAATTCCAAATGTGATATGCCACTGAGTGGCAAATGTAACTTAGAATTCAGGTCTGTTTGATTTGGGGTTCGATGTTCTTTCTACCATGTGACCACTTCACCTTCCATTTCTGATAATCATCAGTCCAAGGTTCACAAACTAGCAAACTGACCTTTAAGCCAAGTTTAGTCAAATAAAGTTTCAAGATACAAATCCAGTGGAGAGGACCGAATGTCACAAATGTGTTAATCAGAGGGACAGATTTGATGCTGCTTAGGTTAGAAAGCAGAGAGGCTCTCCTGGCTGCCACCCAACCTACCCCCCCACCCCTCACCCCACCACCCACCCGGCCATTATCTTAAATCACTAAGTCCTATCAATTCTGCTTCCTACAATTTTGTGTTTTGCACAACTGCAACAATTTAGTTTTGATAGAATGCGCATGCTGCTGAGCAAGTGAAGGCAGGGCAGAAGGAAGAGGGAGAGAGAGAATCCCAAACAGGCTCCAATCTCAGTCCAACTCGGGGCTTGATCCCATGACCCTGGGATCATGAGCTCAGCTGAAACCAAGAATTGGATGCTCAACCGGCTGAGCCACCCAGGTCCCCCAAATGCAGTGATTTCTGAATTATTTTGTTTTGGGTCCCTTGTATGCAAAGAGTTGGATTTTGCTTTATGATTCAATCTGAATTTATTTTGATAAATTACTTTGGCTCATTTATGCTTATCAATTTTATATATATTTTGGTTCTAGTTTCTCATATTATTTTATATGATGCCTTTTATTTCTTCACAGATTTTTTTTTTTTTTTTTTTTTTTTTTAAGTTTACTTATTTTGATAGAAAGAGAGAGGGAGGGAGAGGGAGGAGAGAATGAGAGCAGGGACAGGCAGAGAGAGAGAGGAGAAAATCCCAAGCAAGCGCTATGCTGTCGGCACAAAGCCCAGACTTGGGGCTCAAAATCACGAATTGTGAGATCATGACCTGAGCCGACATCAACCGTCAGGTGCTTAACTGACTTGACCACCCAGGAGCCCTGATTTCTTTATAGATTCCTTAAAAACTCTAAAAATATGGAACCTGTTTTTCTCTTTTCTGAAAATGTGGAAGGCTTACGTTTTTGTTTCAGTGGGTGTCTTTGTAACTTGTTTAATCTCGTCTTCAAAAAATTCTGAGATATAGCTGACGTATAACACTGTGTTAGTTTCAAGTGCACAACGTAAGAATTTGATGCTCTTATGTACTGTGAAATGATCATATAGCTCTTGAGTAATGACTACACTGGGTCAGACTACACTGTCTCCTGTTTGGCTAAGCTCTGGATCAGGCACAGAAGTTTCCCAGCTGATCTCCACTCCCCAGGTCTCCACAAAGCAGCCAGAGTAATCCCAAACACAAAACATGCCACTTCCCAGCTGAACGGTCTCCAACAGGTCTCCATTGCAGAGGGGGGAATACTCAAACTCTTCAATCATTTATAAGGCCTCCACCCATCAGCCCTGGGTTCCCCTCTCATCACCTCTGCTTCGTTAACTCCTGTTATCTTTCGTATCTCAGCTTAAGAGATCACAACCTTCTTCTGGAATCCTTCAGCTACTGCCCCCAACCCCAAGACGGAAATAAATATTCTATATATGTACCCCCACCACAGAACAACGTGCTGGGTGCTGATGAGGGGAAAAGATTTTATCAACTGCCTTCTAGTTGTAGGATCTTAAGACCATAAAGCTTCCCAGATAACCTGGTCCAACCCTTCTGCGACGCACGCACAACTTCCTGGTCAGATGTCCTTGCCATTCCACCCTACCTCACTTAACGAATCTGTCTTTTCTTACTCCGGAAGGTGTGCAGTAAAGAGTTAGGACAGTAGGCCCAGAGTACACATTACAAAGAGCTACGAGACTGGCCCTCCCTCACTCCTGGGCTCCTCCAAGCCCACAGCATATCCTGCAGATAAGAGTACCTTTGCATACCCTGCACCTCAGCCAAGCCAGATCATTTCTGGTAACAAGGTGACTTCTGGTGAACATCTACTTCTGTCTGCCCGAGGCCTGGGTCATACAGTATTTTTATCAGATCTCTGAGAGGTCTGCGGGGGTTGGAGACCGCGTAACACAACCACGCAGGTGCTAATGCCTATGTGACTGACCCCCCGATAAAGACCCTGGATGCCAAGGCTTGTGTGAGCCTCTCTGGGCGGCAATACTTTGTATGTGGTTTCACACACTGTGGCTGGAGAATGAAGTCCGTGAAACTTCACTGGGAGAGGACAACAGGAAACTTCTCCTGGACTCTGCCCTATGCACCTTTTTCCTTTGCTGACTTCCATCTGTATTCTTTTGCTGTAATAAAGCATAACCATGAGTCATACAGCTTTCCTGACTTCTGTCAATTCTTCTGGCAAACCAGTGACCTTGAAAGTGGTCTTGGGGACTTCGGACACAGAAGGTCTCCTGGGTTTGCCCTTTCTTCTCTGCTCCACAAGTAACTTATTACTAGCTCTCTATGGTGATAAACAGAGACCCCATCTCAGACAGTGTTGTGAGCAGTCAATGCTGGCCAAAGCCTTCCCCACAGGCGGCTCCCTTCCCCAGCCTCAGCTCGGGTTTGACGTGAGCCTGAACACTACCATCACATCCCTCCCCCTTAAAGATGATCTCTACCCCGTTCCACTGCTAGGGGACAACAGCCCCTCTCTTCTACAACACGGAAGCACAAATGCCAACATGAACTCAGGGTTGATGAAGAAGCGAGGGAGGTTGGCTACAGGCAAACTCCCATGGTCCTTCCCCAAGTGGGAGCATGACTAGAGAGCGAGATCTCTCTGGTTAGGGACCGTAGGAAAATCTCTTTCCCCCAGTGGAAGGGAGGGCACAGGCGTGAGGGGAGGGAGAAGAGAAACGGAACAAGCCCCGCACTCCCAAGTACGTGCAAACGCAAATGGCAAATGCTGCCACCCGGGGCTGGGCAGGGGTGGGGGCAGTGGGGACCACGGGGCGGGGCAGCGAGCGCACCAGCAGGCAGCTACCCCGCTCCGGGTGTGCACTGCTCCGGAGCTCCGTGCCGCCAGGGCTGCTTGTTTCTAAGAGACGCCACAAGTCTGAATTTGTGCGTGAAGTTTTCTGACTGTTTACACGGATGTTGAAAAAGATGATTTCAAAGTCGTGAGGGTCTAACAAAACATAACACGTGGGCTGGCACCTAGCTGAACACCGACAGCCAGGTGTGAATTTTTTTGTAAGTGAGAAAGGGAAACCACAGTGAACTATCAATAATGGGAATAGGATGATTAACATTCCTCTCCCTCTTCTTAATATAAGGAAAGGGGAAAACAAAGCCAACAAATAAGATTCCGAGTCTCCGCTGGGAGAGAGGCCAGCAGGAGCCACCGATCAGGAAGGAGCAGCCCCGGGAGGGGAGAACGTCAGAGTGTGAGGAACTGGAGGGTAGTAGTGTAAGAAAAAGCACTTCTTTACACAGACTGCAAAGCTTTTTGAAAAAGCCAACGCTCTAAGACTCGACATTTAGCAGGCTCTCACATACAGATATCAAACCGTCTTTCCTTCTGGAGCTGAAGACCAAAACCACAACCGGGTCAAGAAGTATTTCCGAAACCATTTTTACAAAGGAGGAAAAAATACAACGACAAAGAAAGAATCAAACCAACAAAACAGAATACATCAAACATTCTTGATTCTGAAAAAATTTTTGAGAGAGAAGGAGAACCTGTGCAGGGGGTCCAGGGGGAGGGGGGGAGAGAGAGAGAGAGAGAGAGAGAGAGAGAGAGAGAGAGAGAGAGAGAGAGAGAGAGAGAGAGAGAGAGAGAGAGAGAGAATCTTAAGTAGGCTCCATGCTTAGCTCGAAGCCCAACACAGGACTCAATCCCACAACCCTGGGATCACGGTCCAAGCTGAATGCAAGAGTCGGTCGCTTAACTGACTGAGCCACCCAGTGCCCCATTCTTAATTTTTAAGGGGATGAAATGTAAGTCTGGAGATATCGAAATAATACCTATGAAACAAAACCACTGGTCTTGGGTTAGTTACTGTCAGCTATGCCACCTGCTCAAGTACAGACAAGGAGAACATTCTGGGAGCAGAGAAGCATGTAAATATTAAGTAATTTGTATAACTAATAGAAATATTTTTAAGGAAAGAAAGAATGACTAAGTTTCAAGCATCAAATTAAGTAAATAAAGAACAGCAGGGATCTAGACTGGAGCAATGAAAAAGGATCAACCTCTTCCTTACTCGGAAGAAGAGCACTTTCCTAGAACATATATAGGAATAAAAGTATTTACTGTTTAAGCTAGTAACTAAAAAACTTAAGAATTTACTGCTTACACTGCAGATGTATGCAAAAACAGTCCATGCGATAAAATGAGTGGAAAAAAAAGATCAACATTAAGTTGTAAAAGAAGATAAAATATAAATACAAAATCATTTGATTAATTGAAGCCAATGAAGGACACACGGGAACGGGCTGCTTACAGGAAGGCCCCGCCGCCCAAATGGCCACAGGCCAGGTGCCAAGCCACAAGGGAAGAGCTTGACGGCTGTTACCGCATTCAGTCCCTTTAACAATTCTGGGAGGTCTCATTTCCTTTTGCAGGTGCAAACACTGTGGCTTAAGGAGTTTAGGAACTGGGATGAAATCCTAAGTGTATGTGACTTTAAAATCTATGCTGAGGACCCCATTTATGTGACACACACCATGTACCAGTGTGCCCGAGCACTGTAGGATACATGAGGGATGTGACACCTGCCACAGCAGTGCACGGAAGGCAAGAGGTCATTTTTACAAAGAAACTGAGGCTCAGATAAGCAGGGCAGACATGGAAAACTCCATTTTACCCCGAGAAGACAGAAAACCATAGGACAGAAGCGTTTCTCTGGCTCTCTACATCTGACCTCTCCAGCTTCTCCTTTCACTAGAGCCACACCCGGAGGCTGTCCTTGTTCTTTTCTAGGCTCCACTGCTCTGGGCAACCTTGTCCATGTCCATGACCTCAACATTCTGATGAATACCAAACCTTATTCTAGCTCAGATTTTTCTTCTGAGTGCTGACCTCTATTCCTGATGTCTTTAGAAAACATTTTTTTTTTTTAATGTTTTATTTATTTTTGAGAGAAAGAGACCAGGAGCAGCGGAGGGGCAGAGAGAGGGAGACACAGAATCTAAAGCAGGTTCCAGGCTCTGAGCGGCCGGCACAGAGCCCGACGTGGGGCTCCAACTCACAAACTTCAAGATTGTGACCTGAGCCGAAGTTGGACGCCTAACCGACTGAGCCACCCAGGAGTTACCCCCCCTTTTTAAAGTTTATTTATTTTGAGAGACAGAAAAAGTGTCAGCAGGGGAGGGGCAGAGAGAATCCCAAGCAGGCTCTATGCTGTCAGGGCAGAGCCTGATGCAGGGCTAGATCTCATGAACTGTGAGATCATGATCTGACCCAAAATCAAGAGTCGGGCGCAGGGCGCCTGGGTGGCTCAGTCGGTTAAGAGTCCAACTTCAGCTCAGGTCATGATCTCATGGTTCTAGCCTCACAACGGGCATTGTGCTGACCGCTCAGACAGAGCCTGGATCCTGCTTCAGATTCTGTGTCTCCCTCTCTCTCTCTCAAAAATAAATAAACATTAAAAAAAAAAAAAAAATCTTTTTTTTAAAAAGAGTTGGGCACTTAACCAACTAAGCCACCCAGGCACCCGGCCCCAAGCCCAGTCTTAAAGGTCAAGGGGTTGGGCTGAAGGAGAGAGGCAGGAGGTGGGTTACGGATAATCATGTATTTGCACAAGGACTTAAGTTAGTTACCCAGCCCTTCCATCCTTAATTCTAAGGCTGTTTTTGGTGCACTCTCTCCTCATCCACTGCCTTCTGCCTCACTTACACTGCTTGGAGTCTTCTGTGTCTCTGGGTTGAAAATTTAAGATGATTTACGGCACAAAGTGGTCTGTGATTTGCTCATTCTGGCCTCTACTGTCCTAGATTCTCCTTCCTCCCTTTTCCCCCTCACCTCCGTGACACGCGTGCATAACAGAACCCCGCGGGTTGTCCTGCGTTTGAACTTTTCAAATGCTCTACTCTTTTTGCCATCCTCTCTCTACCCCTTCATGTGTTCTGAAGACCCGCTTCTTAGTCTCCATATAAAAGCCTTTCCAGACCCAGCGCACCGAAAGGTTGTCGTTCCTGCCCCCTGCCACCCCCCAACAGTGGACCGCACACTGCCATCCCACGTGTGCCAACATCTCAGTCCGTCCGTGTTCCTGGCACCTACCACAGGGTGTAAAAGCTGTCACGTGCTGACTTTTGCTACCAAACCAAAGAGCTCCGTTCAGGGCAAGTACTGCTCCTGGCTCATCTATGCTCAATGGTGTGCGTGCGTGTGCATGTGTATCCAGGTGGCCAAGAACGGTCCTTTGGAAAGCAGAAAATGTTCCACTAACATTTGCTAGATGGACTGATGTTAAATAGGTTGAAAATTATATTTCTAAAAAAAAAAAATGTAATTAACGGATGAAAAGACAATAATATTGAATCTATATGATTTACACAAAGCAACAAAATACATGAAGAAAATGTGCCATTATACAAAACACTGACAGAAATCAAATTATGCTGGGAGTTTTTAATACCCTCCCCATCATACTAAGTTAAGTAAATGTTAAGTAGAACACTAGAACGATCAAATCTATTGCAAAAACCTAAATGACCATTAAAGAGGGACAAATTTTTAAACCACAAATGTATACTGAATCTTGATTTTGTACAAAATCATTAATTGTGTTAATTGTGCCTTTTTAAAAATTTAAGATTTAATAACTAATAAGCACTTTTTAATAATGAGGAAAGGGTCTAAGTGGATTTGGCTACAAATACAGACATTTAAGATAAAATAAAAGCCTGAATTTAGTATTCTACAGGGTTTTGTTTTGTTTGTTTTTTTAAGTACAACATGTAAGAATGTATTTCATACCATGTTTGCTGGAGTTTTGATCCAAAGATGTGTTCACAGAAATGCTGTCCACTGTAGTCCACTTCCTTAGTCTTGACTGTGGCTCTTTAATACTGTTCATATCCATATTTACATTCAAGTTTGAGTTCAAGCCTAAAAACAAAACAATATTTTAATAGAAAACCACTTTATAAAATATAACATGTTTTCCTTCCAATACCACGACCTCCATTTTCTAGAAAAAAAACATGTAACTAATCTAATGTTTTTAATCCTGTAACCTGGGACTGTTCCTTAGCAGGTATCACCCTACAAATGTGCACAGCCAAATGATTACAGACAAGCACAAGGTAGGCAGAACACTCTGGGCCCCTGGCCAAGGTTGTGTAGAAATCCTCAATAGATATTCTAATATTCAATAACCCAATGTTTTCAAACCGTGAAACTGTTAAAACTATAATTGTGTTAATGTGGAAAACTATTTCTCTATAGAATATGATTATTTTAAAATTCCTTGGTGGGGCACCTTGGTGGCTCAGGCAGTTGGAGCACCCAACTCTTGATTTCGGGCTCAGGTCATGATCTCAGGGTTGTAGGATCAAGCTCCACATTTGGCTCCATGCTGAGTGTGGAGCCTGCTTAAGATTCTCTCTCTCCCTCTGCCCCTCTTGTGCTTGCTCTCTCTCAAACGATAAACAAATAAATTTCCCCGGTAAAAAGAGACAATTTTAAGGAAGCTCAATATTAAAGTTTATCTCCAATAAAATAGATCTCTTTAGCTATCCCCCAAGAGCACCACGCATGAAGAAACATAGGGAATCATGTTCAGTTATCTTTTGCTTATAAACAAAAGTTTTCAACTGGCTTGCCAGCCAAAGGACACCGTCATTGAAAAGCAAAAATGTCCTGGGGCGCCTGGGTGGCTCGGTTGGTTGAGCATCTGACTTTGGCTCAGGTCACGATCCCATGGTTTGTGAGTCTGAGCCCCGCATCAGGCTCTCTGCTGTCAGTGCGAAGCCTGCTTTGGATCCTCTGACCCCCTCTCGATCTCTGCCCCTTTCCCACTTGTGCTCTCTCTCTGTCAAAAGTAAAACAAACATTAAAAAAAAAAAAAAAAAAAAAAGTAAAAACGTCCTGCTCTAATAATTTAGAGACTCCCTTATCTCAAGGCGCAACTTCCTTGACCTTTGGTGATGAAACACATCACACTCAGATATTCTCTGTTGAAACAGGATGGAAATTTCCATCTTGCATACTGTGGGTCAGAAAACTGTTAATCCAGGGTTTCTTAAGTGTGATCCAGGGACCATCAACATCAGAATCATCTGAGATTCTTGTTAAAAATGAACACTTTTCAATGGGAGCCAGAATCTCTGGCCACATAGCCAGGTGGTTCGTATTTTAAAATTTCAAAACAAATAGTTTTAAATACTTGGGTTTGACGACAGTCCATGTGATATCAGGTCAAACTTAAAAACTTTAATAACGTGGGGCGCCTGGGTGGCTCAGTTAGGTGACCAACTTTGGCTCAGGTCATGATCTCACGGTTTGTACGTTCGAGCCCCGCATTGGGCTCTGTGCTAACAGCTCAGAGCCTGGAGCCTGCTTCGGATCCTGTGTCTCCCTCTCTCTCTGCCCCTCCCCCACTCACACTCTGTGTCTCTCTCTCAAAAATAAATAAAACATTGAAAACAAACTTCAATAACATAAATTCTCTAATATCATCCCAATTTTTTGAAGAGAGCAATTACATTTGCTGTTCTCTGGACTCATCAACCAGACCCAAGACTCGGCAAATTTTTCTGTGAAGCTTCAAATAGTATCTCAGGCTCCGTGGGCCACAAGGGTCTGTGGGTCTCTGTGCAACTCTGTTTTAGCACAAAAGCAACCACAGAAAATACATTAACAAAAGACCATGGCTGTGTTCCAATAAAACTTTCTTTACAAAACCAGGCCACCGGCCAAATGTGGCCAACAGGCTCCAGTCTGCCAATGCCTGATTTAGACAACCATGCTGTGTTGGTATGGGTTAGGCAGACCTCTTAACCAGGAAAATGCATCTCTCTGTCCTTGCTGAGAGTCCACAGCAATATGAGGGGGAGCCAGAGTGAAGCGAAGCAGGGCAACAGCAGGCCCCACCCCGCCCACGGCCAAGAGCAGGCTAGCTCGTTAGCTGTCTTCAACACACTTGGGCTGGCAACCAATCAAGCTGGCTTTTGAGAAGCCATTTTAAGGGAAAAGAGAGAAAGCAAAAGCAAAATCAACAGAGCGTCAACAATCAAGGCTCAAAATATAATCAAAGGCACAAAGAGAAAAGAGACCCAGGGAGGGGGAAAACATACAAGCCTGAAGTTTCCAGAGGGAGACAGGGAAAGAAAGGAAGAGGGGAGCTACTGCAAGGGCAACAGAGGCAACCCTCCTGCCTCTGTGTCCTACACTCAACACTCATGCCAGAAATCACCCCTAAAGACTCAGACAATCGTGACAATTTCAGGCGCTGCCCCACAGAAGCCACTCATCCCAGTTATTCCCCAAAGCGGCACTGCTCCGGGTGTCTCTGGCATGTGGTTACTAACCACCCTCCCCCCCTCCCCCCTCCCACACACTCTACGAGGAAACCACCTGGGGCTCGAGAGCAACTTCACCTTTATTCTAACCCACTTTAAATGAGCAGGGAGTTTTTGAAACAGCATGGTTTTCTGGAATGGAGAGAGGCCTTCCTGGAAGCAGGGAGATAGGCTGACCCTGGGAGAGGCAGGGCAGCTCCCGGAGAGGAACGAGCCACAGAGCCGGCATGGTTCCGAGGGGACAGAACTGTGCCGCCAAGGGAGAAGACGTCAGGCAGCGGCTCCTGGTGTCAGGTGAATGCCCCGGCCAAGGAGAAACCCACCTATAGGGAAGTTGCTGAAAGCATTTATTGGTGACGGCCCTTTCTGCAGCTCGGGTGTAGTGTGGGGCATGACGTTCTCGAGGAAAGGTTTCATGGCTGGCTGATGGAGTGGCTGCTGCTGAGCTGGCGGGGTCTGTTGCTTCACCAACAGGTTGGGGTCCAGTTGGCGAGACTGCTGCATCATTTGCTGCTGCACACTAAGAGGTCGACCCTGAAAACAACCAAGTGATCGGGAAACACTGGAGAGAAAGTCTTTAGGGATACCCAGGTATTCCCCCCTCAACTGCCGAATTCCCCTCCTCCCCGGCAGGAAGGTGAATAATCACCATGCTCCAGTTAACACGACCTCCGGGCAAACAGGAGACTTAACGCATCACATATTTTGTCGTATCTTGATACAGGCATTTCGCCTCTCTTGTCACAAGCTCGAATGAAGTGAGTTCAGTGCAAGCGAAGCAAAAGGGGAAAGAAGGGTGCGATCTACCTGCTGGTCTTGCTGCTGCCGGTTCCCAGAAGGCACGCTTCTCTGACTCTGCGCCCTTTGCTGCTGCGCTAACAATCGCTGGAGGGGAGATGGCGAAAAGGCCGTCAGCGTCTTGTCAGAGTCGTGTCATAGAGCAAGCTTCGGGATGGCTGCAGGTGGACCTAAGGCGTGGCCTCATCTGGCATACCCTCCTCCTGGGGCTCCCTGGCCTCAAGCCGTTGTTGAATTCGGTCTTTGGTTCGGTCTAAACTACCTGCGCTTTGGGAGGGACATGTCCCCACCCCCCTCCCCGCCCCCATCCCACTCCCTCCGCCATCCCAGATCTGACTGGGTGGTGCTCGAAGAGCATCCCGCCTTTCCAGCTCACGACCTGTCCTCCCCGACAGACTGTAAGCTTCCTGGGGGCGACGGCACCCACTGTTTGCTGCCACGCTTCCCGCAGAGTCTTGGGTTTATTAGCACACAGTAGACGCTCAACAGACTTGCACTGAATAGGACTGTTAACCGACTCACCTGTAACTGGGAGATCTGAGAAAGCTGGTTTAGTTGGGATAGCTGGTTCAGCATGGCTACCTGTTGAGGGCCAAAGAGCGGATTCAGGCCACCGTTGTTTGGTGCATACTTCAGCAATGAAACTGGAACCTTAGGATCACAACGGCAAGTTAATAACGTTGATCAAATAACTCAAAACTAACTAAATGTGCTGTGTAGTTTGACTTGTCAACAGAGCAATTAAATCTGTGGACTATTACCATGGAAGGTTGGTTAAGTTCTTGCTTTGCTTTATCGTTCATATAAACTTTTCTGGGTTGACTACAAGAGGACAGGGGTGAAATCTTAAAGCGGCCAATTTACTTTGCTGATGTCTTCTTCCCCTCAACGTGTTTTGCGGAAGGTAGTGGTAAATTTCAGGTGTAACTGAACTTGGACTCATTTTCTTGACCCAACCCACATCCGTTCGTAAGGACAGCTAATTCTGCATTAGCTGCGTCTCAAAGAGGCCAGTCGATGTGATGAGGAGCACCTAACTGTCTCGTTCAAATACCAAGTGTTTCCAGGTACACAGGGGAGAGCACGCCCGCAGTCGCTACCTGAGGGGAGAGTAATGGAGGAGGCACTTGAGCACGGAGATTAGGCTGAGATGAACTAAGAGGTTGTGCTGGAGGCTGCTGCAGGCCCCGGGCTTGTGCTGCTGTGTTTCCAACACCGAACATACTGGGATTGCCATTCTGCAAAACCAAACGACAGCAACAGAACCCCAGTGGGATTCTTTAGGGACGGACATCGCAATACCACACTGTAATGTTGATTTAAACACAGTAACTACAAGTAAGAGAGATCTTATTACTTCTACAAAGCATTCAACAGAGAGCCTAAAATACACGCGTGGACTTACCTGTCTAACAGAATTCAAGTTTTGCATACCCAGCCCTGCTATGGAGCCAAGGGCCTGGTTAGGTAGTGCACTATTTGAAGGGGGAAGCTTCATGCTTTGACTGGACATAAACTGCATGTTTTGGGATTCATCTGCTACAATGCCATCCTGATTGGACAGACAGAAAGATGTGCAACACCAGCCAAGCAAACAAGTAGAAGGGAGAAATCATTGCAGGAACAGAAGAGAAGTCACATGACATTCCAGCATCAACAGGAAACAGGTAGAGAACAGAAGAGATCAGATTAGTGTTAATTCTAGAGTACATAAAAAGAACCAAACACATTTTACGGGATTCAGAAGAAAATACAAAATGCAATCCCTATGCTAAACTGAAACATAAAAGGGAGAATGAACTACAAATCCAGTAGTAGGATTTGGCACTGGATTATAAGCAGTACCTTACATTAAATGCCCTAACCACTAATGAGAAAATTATGCCATTAAGTGTACTGGTTATTAGCCACAGGGGGGAAACAAACAAACAAACAAACAACAAACAAACAAACAACTTACCTTATCAAAATAAGGACTGCGCTCCATGGAAGACTCTTTGGAAATCTGAGGCCGAGAACCAGGGCCTTTCCCGACCGTTCGATTGTAATCACCAATATTTAGGCTATGTTTATCTATGTCCATTCGTTTGTCTTGTAACATTCCTAATAAAGGCAGGAAATGATGTTACCATGTAGGAAGACGATTCAGTTGGCTTCAGATAAATTTACAGTAGAAAGCAAAACATTTCCTCCCTGTGGGAGGACTTCTGCCTTGAGAAGGACATGTGAAAAATGCACTTGCATTTAGTAAATCTTGCATTCCTCACAAGTAAAGTTGGGTTTAGCAGACGCTGCTGTTTTACTGAACCAATTAACCTGAAGTAAATAGGTTAAGATGTCTTTGGTCATCTTTAACCTAAACTTTATAATAAAAACAATTTCCAGTTACAAATAACAAAAACAGCCGCCACGAGAACGCGCCATCGGGACAGAGGCGCGCGATGTGCCGGGCACTCACTGTCCCAAACGTGTGCTCTAATTTCATGCTGGTAACCCTACTCTTCTCACCCCCATTCAGCAGATGGGGAAACTGGAGACAAGACAGGCTCACACCTTCTCCTCTCTCAGGTCTTCCTCTCCCATTACGGTCCACATTCTGCCTTCTCTGCAACCTCAAACTCAATTTTTTATTCCTATATGTATCTCATCTTTAATAATAACCACGTATTGTTTACTGTCTCTCAGCTCCAAATTCACCCTTTCTGACTGCCCAGTCAAAGCACACCTGGGCTCTTTACAGTTTTTCCTTTGCCAGTTGGTGCAGAGGCTCTGTCGGTAGAGGGCGCCGGAGAGACGCTGTGGGAGGAAGTTCGATGTGCTCCCGGCAGCCCCCAGAATCCCCCCCCCCCCATCCCTCCACGTGGCTCTGTAGCAGAGTCTCTAGTGAGACACCGCTCTGCGGACAGATTTAGACCAAGTGCCACCAGCACAACAGCACAGCGACTCGCGTGCCATTCGGTGAGCCATGGAGGAGGCGGGGCCTCCTCCTCACAGAACGGACCCACGGTCCGGATACAGATTTGTTTTTCCTGCCTGAAAACCTTCTGCCATCCCCAGTCTGGCAGAAGGCCTTATATCCCCACAGCACTGTGTCTGACCGTGGAACTCACTCCAGAGCAAAGGGAGGACGGTCATGGGATCACGCCCGTGGATCAAGCGGTCTGACCACATACGCCGTCACCCAAAAGTAGCTAGCCAAACTGACAGGTAGAACTGGTTACAAACCAAGTTGGGAGACAACATCCTTCAAGGATGGGCTTCTGCTTCATGGCACACACTGCCACCCACATCACCAGAACACAGAGGTCTGGGAATCAGAAGGTGAGAGTCGGCATGGTTTCTCTGTTATACCTGACAAGCCACTCAGAATTCTTGCTTCCTGTTCCAGCAACTCTACAGATTTGGAGACCTTAGTCCTCAAGAGAGAGAAAACGCTTCTACGAGGAGACACATCAGGCCGCTGAACTGGAAGATGAAAACGGCACCTGGACATTTTGCCCTCCTTGTGCCACTGAACCGCCAGGCAAAAGGGGTTCATCTGCTGGCTGAAGTGACTCTGATCACCAGAGGAAATGGGCTTTCTGATACAAAACAAGGGCCGCGAGGACTCTAGAACCCAGGGGGTTCTCTGGGGGTGCTCCTTCGCATGTCCGGGCCCACTAGTAAAGGTCAATGAAGAGCCAGAGCAACCAAGAAAAGGCAGGACGATTAAGGGCTTGGATTCTTTGGGAACAAAGACCTGCATCCCTCCAGCAGCAAAGGAACCCGGGGGCGCTGAGGTACTGGTAAGAGCAGGGCAGTGTGGGACGGGTGCCGACAGCAGCAAGCCAGGACACCAGCCACAGGTCTGACCACTCACAGAAACGAGGTCAGTACAAGCTCTGCACGTTTCCTATGGCTTGTTACATGAGTGTGGTTATCTGGATAGGCCAACCTTCTCTCTCCCATTTTCGTTTTATCCACTCTGAACTGATGAAAGTTCCTATCCTATCCAACTGTTGAAAGTTCCCTCTACAACTCGGTCTTTCAGTCTCAAGTGTGACTAACTTTGAGGGGTAGTAATACCGCCAATGACAATGCAATGACTACTGGGACCGTGTGTGTCTCCTCAGTTTGGTGAAAGGGCAGACTTCCTCACCCGTCAGAAAGAGAAAGAGAGCCGCGCCTCGTTAAGACAGAGCCGCTCTGCCACTGTAGTGGGACAGGGCAGTGTGCGCACAGGGCGCGTGTGGAAGATGGTGCTCGAAGGGCGGGGTGAACTGTGCCATGCATCGACCTACCGCCTCTCAGCTCCAAATTCACCTCGTCAGCCCTGGACCCTTTCCGTATCTTTCCCTTGGCCGGCCGACACTGCAGCTTTGTGGGTAGAGGGTGCAGGAGACACCGCTGTCTCCCGGGTGCAGGCACCCCCTCCTGCGGCACAGACCCCACCCTGCCGCGGCACCCCCGGCAGCGGCTCTGGCGGTCTAGTGGCAAAGCGCCTCCCGTGAGACACCTCCCAACGGGGCACAGCTCCTGCAGTTCCGCGTGGGCGACACCACCGTGACTTCTCTGCCACGCGGTGAGCAGAGGCCAGGTCCAGGAGTCTGGACCCCCTGCACGGGCACGCCACCTCAGTCCTAAGGTCAGAGACCTCTCCTTGCCTCTGCTAGTCTATCTTCAGTGTGCTCCTTACCTCCTACTAGGCAAAGCCTCGTCACTCGAATAATTCCTTAGATTTGCATCAAACCTTCCTGTTCAAATCGCTGCATAGTCCGCTCTCCTGCCCGGACTCAGACTAACAGAAAAACGGCACCACCTACTAAAGTTTTCAGGCAAGAAAGTGGAAATCAGCTTTTATCACACCCGCTCCCTCACCCTCCACAATGAATTGGTTCAGACTGGTTACCAACTTTCGTTGATTCTAATTCCTGAATCTCCACAGAATTAAGAGTCTTCCCACCTACTATCTTAGAGTTTTGAAATCCTCACTGGATTTGAAATCCCACTCCAACAAATCTCACACTGGTTCTGGTATCTTGTCCTTAGTCCTCTGCCGCGAATCTTTCCTGTCCTAAGACATTTTCAACCTGCAGCCATAATAATTTTACTATTATTATTATTATTTTTAAAGTTTACTTATTTTGAGAGAGAGAGAGAGAGACAGAGAGACAGAGAGCATGCATGCATGAGCAGGGGAGGTGCAGAGAAAGAGAGGGAGGGAGAGAATCCTAAGCATGTTCCATGCTGTTAGTGCAGAGTCCCACACAGGGCTCAGGTGAGATCATGACCTGAGCAGAAATCAAGAGCTGGGCACTTAACTGGCTGAGTCACCCAGGTGCCCCTATCATCATAATTTTCTTAAAACATAAACCCAAATCATGTCATTCTCCTGCTTCAAATTATTTAATTCCGTGCTTTCAGAATAAAGTTCAAACCCCCCAGCTCCTTATGTTTTAGCCTCTGCCTCATTTCTAGCACCTTCCCTAGGCAAAGCTTCTTCATTACCACACTCCCACCACCACAACCAATTTACGTTTCTTCTCCCACTGCATGGAACTACTTGCCATTTCTCTAGCTGTCTTATACTGTCTCTGTCCTATTATCTGAGCCTTTACACATACCGTTCCCTGAATTACTAAGACTCTATCACCCAACTTGGATGACTCCTCCTGACAGGACTAGACTTGAGGTAATCACAGACTGGTATCACCGTGACCTCAGACCTTGCACAGCGATGTGCACTTGGAAGGCTTATAAACCACCGTACCCTAATGCGGGATGGAGAGCACAGGATACCGTAACGGGAACCCAGACCTCCCCTCTCCTGGCCCAGGTCAGTGCTCGCTTAGTAGGATCATGTCACAGATCCGTTTGTCCATCAGTGATGAATACAAACTCAACCTGATTTACCTCCAGAAAGGTCCATCTTATTGCTCTGTACGTTTTCTTCTGGTGAGTCTCTCTGAAGGAAGAAAATGGGGCATGTTAGCAGGCCTTCATTCATCAATGAAAAGAAATTAAAAACGAAAACCTTTACTTCGTTATTTGTCAAAAGGCAAAGAGGATATGTGACCGATGTTTTTAGCTATGACTATACAAATAAAGAAGGCTTCATGGCCCATTTTACTGTAACCTCCAGCAGACTCATAAGGCCTCAAACTAAGTAATAATTTGTTAAGAAAACAAAAAATTAAATTAGGGTAATTTAACCACCATTATAGGTGGTTAACAGACCACCTGTAACATTATGGGGTATCAGACCACCATTAAAAGGGGAGGGGGCTGCTGGGAAAACACACTTACCGAAAAACTGATATTTGAAAACTGTTTAACGAATGGATTTATCCACGCTTCTTCTTGTTTGTTTCCACCTTTCATGGTTCCCTTTGCAAAACAAAAGAGTAGAAAGCTGCCACGGCCACCTCTATTGATCTGGGTACAGTGATGGATTACTATAACTTCAAGACAATTCCCAACTCTCATTTTTAGCCAATTAATTTCTCCTTCAACCAACTCTTATCCGAGTTGTTAACAATTACAAATCAACTTATTTGATTTTCAACTTCCTTTGCTCCAGTCCTCTGGTATAGCTGTAATGTACAGAGAAATCCCTAAAGGCAAGCAGTCAGAAGGAAAAGACGGAAGCAAAGGGCCTTGATGACCCACACAAGCAAAAAAGGTCCTCGGACTAACGGAGAACTGCTTGTCACACAGTTTCCAGTTTATAACTGGATGGTGCTCTGAGAGCTTACTCATAATTTGGGTCTGTGGCGCTCTCACACCACACTAATGTAAAAGTAGTCATTAGGTTTCTCGGGTTCATCCAAAGAAACCCACATAACGCGTACTTTAGTTATGCTGCATGCGCTGTACTGAAAAAGCACCATATGTTTCCAAATGAAAGACTTGAAAAACTATGATCTGTGTTGCCAAGAACACAGTACCCCAGCAGCAGCTGAGGCTGGGGGCCCCCCCTTCCACCCTGGTGCTGGCCGGGAACAGGCGGTACAGAAACTACCGAGACATGCTTCGAGGGGGTGAATGGTCCACGACATGCCCGGTCGACCGGGAGGCGGGAAGCCACAGGGACCAAGGTGTCCCGTGAATGTGAAGACCATGGGGCCATTCTCAGTCTGCTGCCTTAATTTCCCTTTCCCGTTGCTACCGCCTGTTCCTTCCGACTGTGGGACAGAACACAGCTTCACAGTCCCCCCCCCCCCCCCCCCCCCCCCCCCCGCCAAGTGCAGGTCTCTGAAGCAAGCACCTAACCCTCGCCGTGGTTTCTGAAGTCGTCCTTGATTCCTCTGCCTCTCACTCCCACCCGCACGCCTAACTGGCTGCCAAGGCCTTCTGTCCCTTCCATTTCAAAATGTCTCTCCAATCAGTCCTTGCACTACACATCCATTCTTGCTTCCCCATTCAGGCCCTCACTTCTCACCCGAATGAGTGCAGAAGCTTCCTGAGATCCCCAACTCTGGTCCCTCCTCAGTGCCAATGATCTTTCATACGATCACTGGTTAGCTTTCTTTAAAGTGAGTAATTTAAAAAACCCAAGTTCATGTTGCCTTCTATGCAATTTCACTGGCTCTGTATTTTAAACAGAATAAAGTTCAAATTCTTTGGCACGGTACTGAAAAGACTTTACAACCTGCCCCTTCATCTAACTATAGAGCCAGATCTCTTGTCACCTCTGTCCAGAGATTCCACATTTTAGTATGTCAGGCTACTATTCTCCTTAGCACATCCCACCCCCAGGCATCTTCCAAATTCAAGTGGGCACTCCTCAGAGCTCTCCTATGGCCCCACACTAGACTCTGAGCTCCTTGAAGGTGTAGCTCATGTCCTAGTGGTTTTGAACCCCCAGCACCAAGCACAGTACCTGGCACACAGCAGAGGCTAAATAAATGTTTGCAGTTGCTTTCTAAAAGATTTTTACTAGCAGAAACAAAGGAGAAAGAGTAAAAAGGCTACACACCCTTTCCCTTCTCCTTTTTTTGCCACTCAGACCCTGTAAGGAAAGACAAAGTCACAAAACAGCATGGTCCAGTGGGAAGAACACAGGGTTTGGAACTGGAAGGCCTAAACTTAAGTTCCCGCTCTGTCACTTACTAGTTATGTATCTCTGGGCATGCCACCACCTTTTCCGGTCTCAAATTCCTAATCAGTATTCTATCTCAAAAGGTCATGAGGATCAAATGGCTTATGTAAAATATGGGAAAACACTTCATAAACTACATGGAGGCAACAGGCAAATTCAGCCAAATGAAAATCTTTGTAAAGGAAAATGGCAGGTCCTAGACTGAGAATCCCAGGATTAATTTTTTTTTTTTTTT